CCTTTTGTCCAGTGGCTATTGTGCATTGTGTGTTCCTGAGGTGTTGGTTTGCATCAGCCTGGGGCGCTCCACTCTCTCAAAGATAGTTTGCTAACAGAGCTTTCACTCCATTGCCTCTAATGAAAATCCATACTAAACATTTAGCTCTGTGTGAGAAAGGGGGGAAATTCAATAAGACACGTAACGCAATTTATAAATTACAGGAAGAACCAATCGAACCAACAGGCAAAATGGAGAATTGTTTTTTGTTTATATTTGTTTATTTTGCTACATTTTGGGAACCGAAGTAGCAGCCGTTTGTGTGTGGTGAGTGTAAAGAGGTTGAAATCTATTTTCTCAGGCAAAATTAAGTCCAATGCTGTGTTTTTATTCAGTCTTTTTCCCCCCACACAGATTATCAGTCATGCCGCCAGAGATGTCTCCACTGAGGTATTCCCCAAACTAATGGTCGCTCTTGGACAGCACCATCGATAGTAAACTAATCTGCAGCCTGCAAGGCACAGGAAACAGATCTCATTAGCACTCATTGAACTATCTTCCAAGGAAACTTTCATCTTTAGACCACTCTGACAACAAGCCTGAGAGCCAGACTAATGTCACTTACTAGTTCTGGGTGTAATGACTGACTGAAAAACATGTAATAGATGGATGGGCAGTAAAAGAGTGAAGTCATCTGGGTGAAATAGTTTTTTCGTGCTGATAAAGTAATTACCAAAGATTCCTCATTCTAGTATGCTCATGTTTTCACATCCTCCTGTTAAAATGTTTTTCTTTTCTTTGGAGCTTCTATTCTTATGTTAAATTGTAAATTTTCCATTTGCTTCCCATTCCTCTTGCAGCTACCATCTACGCTGCTTGCTCAACAGAAACTAGTAAAGTGATATTTGGAGTGATGCTTCCACACTGTGGCTGAGGCAACAAAATACACAAGAAGAGCTTGAAGTTGTGTCCATTCAGCCACTAGAGGGCGACGTCAAATGAAGCGCACATCCCGCGAGCTTTGCTGAACTCTCGTTGTTTGTTTACAACCTGAGAACTTCCTGTCTGCTCGCAGCTTTGTCTTAACTGGATAATTAAAGGTCTCAAATCAGCCGATTCAACATGGGATGTGATGGAGGAACGATTCCCAAAAGACACGAGTTGGTGAAAGGCCCCAAAAAAGTCGAGAAGGTGTGTTACGCTTATTTCTGTCATAGCTAGTTAGTGTCGGAAGCAGTCGGCGTGTTGCTAACTATTAGCCAGCTAACAGACTAGCCTATGGGTAGTTGTCTTAAAAACTATAAATGACAAATTAAATAAGTTTTAAGTATTTGTTATACATATATGTCAGCCACTCGCGGGATTTGTCCCATGTGGCTTCTTGTAACTTACACGTAGGTTGGCTAACTAACTAACTAACATACTCAACGACTAGCTGACGTTAGCTTTGAACATAAAACTGTTAACTTTTACACACATTAGAGACGAAGATGAATAACTACTGTTATATTACATGTGTATGTTGTGTTTACAGGTTGATAAAAATGCAGAGTTGGCTGCCAGATGGAAATACTGTGCCTTGAGCCAGGAGAAACTCAGACGGCCCATCGTTGCTTGTGAAATGGGAAGGTGAGAATTGGCTTTTCTGTTTGTTCAACGTCAATCAGGCAAAATTAGCTGCCAATTCTAATATTTGCTTATCACAGCACTGTGTGTTCTCAAAGTCTGGTCCATGTTGTGTTTCAGGCTCTATAACAAAGATGCTGTCATCGAATATCTTCTGGATAAAACTGCTGAGAGACCCAATGTGGAGGCTGTAACTCACATCCGTGGGATCAAGGTGTGTTGGAGCTGAAGTTTGGTAGTCTTATTAAACCACATGGGTTTGTCCCCAGCTGCATAATATTTCTTCCATACATCTAAAGTCGAAGTCAACGCGTGTTTATCCATGTACTCCCTCTGCAGGATGTAAAGGAACTGAACCTGACCGATAACCCTGAGTGGGAGGGAGAGAGAAGAAATGCTAAAGGAGACAGATATGAGGACGTCCACTGCGGCATGTTCATTTGCCCTGTTGTTGGGTTGGAGATGAATGGCAAGCACAGGTAACAAGCAACAAGTAAAAGGTCCACAACCAAAACATAACAGAGGCAGGTGCTTCACTTGCATGCATCAATTATAATAAATAAAAAAAAGGTTCTCTGTTCAATTTAAAGACTAACTTTGTGCATCCACTTCACTGTAGTATATTACTTATCTACCCATCAGGTGAGGCTTTAAAGACTCAGCAGATTTTTGTCAAGTTCAGTGTTGATCACATTATGATTTTAAATTCAGTATACTGTATGTGTATACAGAGCTCACTACCGAACCTCATCCAAACATTAAGATCAAACAGAACAGTTAGAAAAATGTGCCTCATATACTTTACAGGTATTGACAGCTCACTTTGTGCAGGAAATGGCCCAACAGTGGAAAAAAAAGGTGTATTTATATATGTGTTATGTTTTCCTTCTCAGGTTCTGTTACTTGCAGACCTGTGGCTGCGTCTTTTCTGACAGGGCCATGAAGGAGGTCAAGACAGAAATCTGCCACAAGGTGAGCTATGTTTCATATTTTGTGCCCCAGTTTTTCTATTCCAGCTTTCTTTGATGGAGCAATGGTTTGCCAACTATGAACAGCTATTTAATTTTCCTAATGGATTTCTGATCTGATCTATCCTTTCTGTAAAGTGCTCTCCTTTGCTGACTTCTCAGTGTTTGGCAGTGACTCTGCTTGTTTGATTTACATACAAAGGTCTCTCACTGCTAATGCTTGGCAAATAAGCAGCCTTGATGTCAATGTAGATAACACACTAGCAGTCTGGCATTTGGTTCCAGATGCACAATCCGTTGCTTAGATGGAAACATTGTACCCTAGTTGAATAAATTGTGTTCGCTATCCAGAAATCTGTATAATTTGAAATTAAAACAAATTTACGCTGTTAAGGTATTTAAAAGACAGGAGATAGTTTGACCATCATGGCAGACTATTAGCTTACGAATCCTTCTTTTAGCTTGCGGGCGATTGATGGGTGGTTTCTCATTTTAGTGTCTGAAAATGTCCAATTGTGCAAATTTCTTACGGGCTTATAATACAATACAATATAGATGGATTAATAGCAGTACGCTCTAGACCTTTTTGAAAAGTGTCCTGATAACGTTATGAATTGGCGCTACACAAATAAAACTGAATTGAATTCAATTGTAGTCTACACATACCATAATCAAGTGCATTATGCAAATCGCAGAAGCTGCAAAAATTATTGATAATGAAAAAATGTGTGACAAAACTGCATCATAATGAAGTACTGTGGTCTGGCTTATAAATATTGTTCTTCAGATGTATGTTTGTGTGGTACAGAACCAAAAGAAATTCACATCATCATGATTTTAATAGTTTTTTCAGTGAAATATAAATCTGTGATGCAAAAACAATGATTCCCACACTAATTGAAAATCATATCACAATCGCAAACTAATTGGAATATTATGTTTTTACCATATCGTGCAGCCCTACTATTAATCCATTTGTAATTCAGTGAGAGGCGTACAGCTTGCTCCAATTTGACCCTATTCCAATGTGTGATAGTCTCACACTTTTAGAAAAATGTTTGTAAAATTGTCTTTTATGTTAGGAGATGTAGTTTGCCATTATTTCTATCATCATTGTTCAAAGCGGAAACTGTGCTCACAGACTCAGCTAACCTGAGGACATTACAGAGGTTTGACTGTTTTGTGTGTCTCTAGCCATCTTTTTTGACCCAAATTGAGCCACATGGGAATCTTGCAGAAGCAGGCCTATGAACCATTGTGGCTCCTGACCTCTTAGTTTTAAGTAACTTTAAAGCGATAGCTGTAATTTCTCATGCATAGGCTATTCTAAGGATGCAGACAGATGATCTCCAGTCACTGCTGTTGTTTCTGTTGAAGTGAAAGTATCTTGGCACAGATCAGTTGTTTGACTTTGCCATAAATAGGGCCTAAAACCATTAAAAAAAATTACAGTGCTTCTTGTGGGAAACTGTCTCTGTCTGCTGAGATTTTTTGCTTAGATAGGCTTATTAGGCGATACACAATTTCTTGAATTTATAGCCACTGGTATTGAGGCTGAATTTGCCTGCTTCTTATTTAGTCTCATTTGGCTGCCATGGTGCAGACAGTTGTTGGCAAACTTGATGAACAAGAGAATATAGTTGTAGGACAAAAAAAAAAAGTTGATAAACTATAAATCAACTATGTTTATGTTTTGGACCAGTGCTGTATAAAGTGATGTCTATTATAGTTCAAGTACTTTACAGTAACAGCCCAAATGAATTATTTTATTTTTTTTTAGGCATCCTGCGTAACTGCCTAAGTGCAGGGGTTTTGCACAGAGCACAGAGCCACTATCATGACTATAGACTTGTTGTCTTGTTTTAAAAAAGGAAGAAGGGTAGGGAGTTTTTTTTCCATCAATGTCTTTAATTGTTTGTTTATGCCTGTTACTTTGGGAAAACAGGAAAAACAAGAAAAAAACAGAAAAAAAGACAGTAGTTTTATCAACAATTATTTTTCAACTGGACCACACACTGAACAATATTAAATTAAACAATAATAAATGCACATTTAGTAGTTTATTTAATACCTTGTGTAGTGTAGTTTTCTCAAATAGGTTCTGTTATTTATGCTTTTTTATAGGATACACGGTACTTTATGTATGTATGCGTTAACTGCATTGGTTTACTGTAAAGATCTTTAGTCACCTGGCATATACACTGTCTTCTGATTATCAAACAAAACAGCCATCTTACAGTTTCATAAATAGAAAAATACACTTGTGATCAGTAGCTATGCTACAGAGTCTGGAAGTGCACAGTGCATCATCCTGCCGTTCTCAGTTCAGTTTCCCGCTCACATTTTTGACATTCACAGCAACCTATCAAGTGCAATTAATCCGAACTGCATTTAGCCCCACTTTTGTTGAGGATACCAGCAGTGATTTCAGGCTTCAGCGCTGCTGTTGAAGTAGCTTGAGTTGCTTTGTGTGGCCAGCAGCCATGATGGCTCTATGGGGACAGTTGCCTGGTTCAACACCTTGTTTCTGTGCCACTGCTCCAGACAGTCCAGTGCCTCTGGAAAGACATTACTCTCAAACTTATTTGCAAACATGCTGTTGCTGTTGATGATCCATGGCAGGTCTTCCATTCCGTAGATACAGATGTCTCGAACGTAATGACCTGGAAAATAACAACAACAATTTTGGTCTTGTATTTGTATATTAGATATTAGACGTGACTCTGTGAACGTCAGACCTTTTATGATGCTGTATGTGTTTGTTAGTAGGTTTGTGTGCTACTGCAGTGATTTGGGATGGTTACATGTATGGATTTATTGTTTACATAAAAGTCCTATTTTTTTCATCTTTTAAAAATGTTAACTTATTGAAGAGTACGTCATATCAGATTATTCAGATAAATCGGTCATATTATGAGTCATTTTATCATCTTTTGTGTTCCCTTAGCCAGTAATTGGTCTTGTAATCCTGTCCGGAGCCAAACATAGGACAATGAGTAAAGAGCAGACCATTTTTATCTCATAGGACAGATATAGAATATGAGGTAAAATATATGTTAGTACTTGTTTGTGCATGTAGTAGTGAGTTTGGCTACAAATATTTACTAGTTTTGTAAACTATAACATATTCTAAATGTTGCTATTACATTTCCATTTTATTAATAATACACAGTTGAAAAAAACTAGTAGTGTACCAAATGCTGCTTCCCTCCCAGCAAATCATAGGATCAACATCAACAAAAAATAGCACATTGAAAATCGTCTTGGTTTTGCAGACAAAGACAGAGGTTGGGGGTAGTGGGCTTCAATTAGAGGGCGTTCACTCTTTTTAAACTGCCTTTACAGCCCAAAAAACAAACGTGCGGTACTTCTTTCAGCTAGACCATATGGTGCAGTAATTAACCAATAAAGTAGTACCCCATTATTGTATGTACTTCTCTACTGTACCTTTGCAGCCATTATGTGTCCGTCCCTCTTGATCTCTCCACTTGATTGCCCGGATGTTTCCTGCCCAACCTCCATCTATGTGGTTGCCTGGAGCTTCTTCAAACACATAACCGTAAAAAATTAATCATGATTATGCAACCTAAGTGAATTATAAAGATTTACCACGCCCAGTTTGGGCTGTCACATGCACTACGTGGGAGAGTGTCCAGCATAATTCCCATTGAAAAGCTTAGGGAAAGCAGCTGCTCTTTATTGGATGTGAGGAAGTTAACCAGATGCTGCTTTGGCAAACCAGCCAGAAAGTCCTCGTCCTTTAAACCTTTTCTCTTGTAAAACTGAAAACAGTAAAGCATAAATGTCATCTTTGTGTGGCTTTTCAAAGTAAGTTTTAGAGTGTGCAGTCTTCTCCCTATTCACATGTCTAGTTAACCTTCCCACCTCCAGTTAAGAGCAGTGCACAGCTACTTCCCTAAGCTTTTCTATGTAAAGCATGAAACTAGGGCTAGTATTTACTATTCAGGTATAATGTAATATAAAAATATAAATACAGCCCTATAAAGATCAGAACAGTTCCCTAAAGTATATTTATCTTAGCCTTATTTCACACTTAAATCCTAATTAATGGATAAATGGCATGGAATTTGAAATAATTTCTAACATCTCGACATAAGGATCAATATCTCTTGATATCAGTAAATTAGTAGTGAGGGTTCAGTGCAAAAGCCATGAGGTGCACATTAAGAATAGGCTCTTTGTTGTTATTGATTCCCCCTTAGGAGAAATAAGCCTGTTGCATTTCAACCATCCTCTTTAGGAGCACCTAGGGACACATTTTTTCTTCTTAAGTCAGTTCCTTGGTCAAGAAAAATGGCAGTATTTCCTAATAGCTAACATGCTTGTCTTTTGGAGTAGCAATTTACCACAAATGACCTCTTGAGACTTGACTCAAGCATTACTTAAGCGTGAGAAATTACACTTTTACGCAACCAAGGGTGCAAATAATGTTAGGAATGAGCCGGGATCTCCTGATACAATATTGTTGATGATCAAACAATATAAATATTTTCACTTTAAACATATATCTGATCAATAAGTTCACATGCTGTAGTTTTCCTTTGTGCCATATATGTGGGATGAAAAAGGAAATGGCTTACTTCAAGCAAATAATAGTGCCATCTTTTAAAGTAGTACTAATATTACAGAAAAATATCATTTTCATTTTACATTGGTTGCAAACAACATGTTTATTATTTTACAGCATCTTTACAAGTTTTTCCTAATGTGCCAGATGGCTTCAGTTGTGCTGTGGCTCACTTTAAGGCCATTTGAAACAGGCAGTTTACCTTTGATGTGGTTGAGTGTCACCCAGTAGTGCTCATCTGGACTGAACGTGTCTTTCGACCACTCCAGGAGGTCACGGGCTACTCGGCTTTTCAGAACAAAGTCTACAAAAGCTCTTGTGAGAGCATAGTAGGCCGTTCCAAAATAAATTTGCAGATTGTGTGGAGGAGGATCTTTCTTTAGTCCTAACCCTTTCAGAGCTACATGTGACCCCATAATCTCCCTGTGCTGGAGCTGTGTCCTGTGCCTCATAGACAGTGGTTGCTTGACCCCAGGCGTCATGTTTCTGTCCCTCCACTCTTTGCTCTGCATGTACCGCACCAGTTCCAGGTTGCTCTTGACAGGGAAATCCTGTCCACACAGATTCACCACCTTTCTCCAGCCTATCTTGGACTTTGCTAGATCCTTCATGCAGTTCAAATCTGCTTGCAGGCGGGAAAACCCAGCGTAGGTCACTGTCTCGCTGCGGCTGGAGATGAAGGTATTTTTGAAGCAGCTGACTAGCTTCCATACAGCCGCCTGGTATTCCCATGGAGCCTTAGCATCCACGTGAATGCAGTAGACATTTTGTGGCATGTAAATGGCCCGCAGCAGCCGCACAAAAAGCTCCAGCTCCTTGTGAACGGTCACAATGAATGCTAAAGGGTAGTCCTCCTCCTCACGGCTCAGAGGTGTTGTGATGAAGTGAAGGTCTCTGATCAAATCTGAACACTGCAGGCGACTATTTAGAATATAGCTTTCCACCTGTAGACAGAAGAAAATTATATATTAACACGACACCTGTTATTAAATCCTTTTTTCTTTTTTTTTTCTTTTTTTTAACCAAAATCTTTACTCATATTTATCAGTATACTTCTTCAGGTTGGTCACAAACACAGTGTCGAATTGGATCTGGTAAATTACTTGTTTGACTCGATTAGTTCTTGTAATTTCTTATTTTACACATTTGTTTTAGCATGTTGCTACCACAGAATCTTGTTTATGTGATTCCCGCTCTTTAAATGAAACTAAAATGTACCATCCTGAGTGATGAGTCTTGCTCCACTGCCACTGTTTATATCAAATTTTAGAAATGCAGAAAGAGAATACATATATGTAAAAGAAAAACAACATACCTGGCAGTCACGGCGGTACAACTCTTCTCCTTCCATGCTGTTCAGAAAAGCTTTACATTCAGTGGAGAAGGGCCTGCAACTGGGAGGCTCCAGAGGCTTATGTTCAGTTGGCATCCTGGCCCTCAAGTAAATGACTGAACAGATAATAATACTCATCCCCAGGCACAACAGGAAGCTGCATTTCGTTCCCTCAAGCTGGCGCATAATAGCCCTGCTTCACCGTATCCAGACAGCACCACCACAGATAAAACTCCTGCAATAAAGACATCCAGTTATTTGCAGTAGGGTCCTGGACCCCAGAGGGATATTAAATAGGGTTAAATATGTAGGTTAGCACTAATTGATGAAGCCAGTTTTTAGCTCAAGAAATGTAGTTTAGTGTACCGAATTTAGTCTCTTGATGACTGATATCTGAGATGTGATGAATAACGACATTTGTCTCTGGTTCCTCTTTCTGGAACACAATATACAGGATTTTAACTTCATCTTCATTTAGTCAGATTTTCAAAATCATGTAGAATAATAAATTCTACCTCTAGAGAGCTGTTTTTCCTCTACTTTGTGCCTCAACCAAAAAACCCAAACAAATCAAAACTGACGAAAAAGGAAACTGTTCAGCAACATTTGGCAAATTATAGAGAGAGTTGGCAAAGTATAGCATACTTAAAGGTCCAACATTTAGGAGAATCTATTGTGTGGAGGCGACCATGTTGAGCCACCATGTTTCTACAATAGTACTAGATTTTTGTGGCCACCATACTTTCTCCCTTGTGCTTGTAAAGGGAGCGTGAGGCAGGTGAGTTGCAATCTGCATCTATACCGCTAGATGCCACTAAATCCTGCACTCCTTTAAATAAACTGTTAAAATGGAGTCATGCAAGTTTTTTTTCATAAATACTTTCTTTTATGCAAGGAACATAAATTGGAACTAGTGCAGAAATGATGAGCTAGTGGATTATCCAACAAAAGAAAATGTATTACTTATGATTTTGATCTTTTGATCAGCTTGCTTTCTCTTGTTTTGAATTATTAGGGAATTAGCCAACTCATTTTCATAAAACAAGTCATTTACGTAAATGTCCATTAACTGGAAAACAATTTGCAAATAATTGTTAACAAAATTGAAAGCAAATGCAGCTTTAGTTGAAACATGCCATTGAGACTCACTGAACAAGTCTTGGTGGATCATCTGAAAACTCAGGAATTCTTCATGAACTAAATGTGCAAGGTACAACAGATAGCATTAAGTAAACATGTGACATATGAAGATACCAAAAGGATTCAGACTGACTGGAGGATAGTTGAGAGAGGGACAGTACTCTGGTGTGATACCCTGCCGTGTATCTGCCCTTTGCCCATCTCAGGCTGCTTAGTGGTATAACTACTTAAGTATTTATGACCCTTTTCTTAATGTAAGGCATTTCTTTTCTCTTTCAAGTGTATTTGTTATGATAAAGTCCTAATTTTAATATTAAAATTAGG